TAAGAATTGGAAGGGACTCTCAAAGAGAGCCCCAGAGAGAGACCCTGATTGCCATGCAAGTCTGGGTGGACATGAGCTGGAACCTAGTCTTTGAGCTTGCAGTCAAGTGTTCTGGGTCTCCTCGCTGCTCACACTGTGGTCCCTGGACCAGAAGCATCAGCGCCACCTGGGAGCTTCTTAGAAAAGCAGAATCTCGCCGCCCCGCCCCAACCTGACTTACAGAATGAGTTACAGAATCCGAATCTGCATTTTATCTGATTCCAGGTGGTTCTATGCATGTGAAAGTTTCAGAAGCTTTGTATATACCTGGTGTGATATTGTTCTTCTGAGTTCCTGAAGGAAACAGTAAGTCAATACATCAAGGTCTGGTTTCTAGTCCTGTGAGAAGCTCTCTCTTCTTGAAATCTTCCATTTTGAGTCACTTTTGAGGAGGATTCCTGCAAATTGTGAAATTTAATCTCTTTGTCTTTTCAATAAAAGCCACCTGTGTGTTAGGTCTGAGGACTTTATAGCTAATTAATTACAGAGCTACTTGCCTGTTGCAAATGGAAAAATTTAACATGATCCTAATCAGCGAGTTTATTAATCTATCCTTGGTCCTTTTGACTGACATCCATGCTCAGATTTTATTTTTCACAGCATATTAGGTTAAGAAGTAGATTCATTGATTTGTTGCCCAAGAAACAACGGCTGTTTGTGTGTCCTGACGTGATCCCTCACTCGCGGATGGCTTGGCCCTTGCTCCCAGGAGTTTACAGTCTGTTTGGAGTTTACAGTTTACAGTTCCAGTTGGAGAGATAAGATCATGCTCAACTCCTACATTTTATGGGTGAGCAAAACAAGCCACAAAGAGTTGTGGGACCTGGCTTAGGCAAAAGGGTCAGGCGAGACTGAGAGGCTCCAGGTCCCAATGAGAGTCTGGAACTCTCTGAAGAGCAAGTAGGTTCTGCCGAGGAAATCTGTCCACAGGTGCAGGGCGCAGCCTCCGCTGGTGGGGCATCCTGAGGCTAAGGTGGGAAGCAGCGTCCTGGGTCAGGACCAGACAGGCACAATGATACTGAAAAGCACAGTCCAACTTACTAAGGTCATAAGTCATAGCAGTTTATATTCTTACAAGCCCCTGTGAGGTAGACACTGTGACTGATGCTTTATAGATAAGGAAGATGAGGTTAACAGAGGTTGCATAATTCAGCAAAGATGCCACGGCTGGTAGAACCAGTGCCCATATGTGTTGCCTTCCCCTGCCACCTGCCCATAGATGTGTCACTCGGCCTTCTGCCTGAGTCAGGCTGGGTTACAGTGATGGCAGCGCTGGGCTGGAATGAGAGATGAAAGGGCCCCAGCTGCAGGACTGAAGCAGGACTAATAGACCGATCAAGGTGACAAAGCAGGAGGATTGGCTCTGATGGAATCCAGATGCTGGACGCTCTTCCCTGGTGTAATACTACACAGAGACAATTGTCACCTGTCCCACTTCTGGGACACTGAGCTAAATGACAGGAATGGCTGGCGGCAGGGCTCGGCGGAAGGTGAGGTCTCCCAGTTGGACTGATGAAAGGTTGGAGAGGGAGACTGGCTTGGGGGGTCGAGAAGGGACCAAGACCCGCGCTCCTGGAGGCTGGCGATTAAGACCCTGTTCCATTGGGTTCCTGCCCCAGGGTGCGCCTGGCGAGCGAGGGCTCGGATTGCAGAGCCAGGCTGCTGCTCTCCTCTGGTCTTGACGGACAGAACCTTTGGGTGACGCCGACAGCTGAGCCCCAGGCCATGTCTGAGTTGCCCTGACTCCCCCTGGGGCACACAGGGTCCCCTCCCAGCTGCCAGTTCTGGGCCTTCACCTCTTCAGCACAGCCCTGAGAGTTTCTGCTGAACTTCCTTTTTGCCTGTGTTGTGCCGGCCCACCCGGGGTCATCTGGCGAGGCCCTGAGCAAGAGGTGGGGGTCAGCTGTGCTCTCCCCACCGCTCCTCTGGGTTCTGTCCACCCACACACCCAGGTCCTCTGGGACCACTCCCATCGCACCCCGAGACCGGTGGAACTGAGGCCCTGTATCCAAGTTCAGCTCACAAGAAGGTCAAGGTGACCCAGAAGGGCCTATGGCCAAGATTCTTAACATTTTTTTTTTTTGACTTTCCACAAAGGCCAAGTAAGTGATGACTTCAGGACATGGCGTTCCAGAAACAACTGGAGAGAGGAACATAAGTCCCCCTTGGTTGGGGTGATGTAGCAAAAGCACTTAGAGGGTGAGATCTTTGAGTGTCACGTGGTCAGAAACTGCTGTGCTGGTTAACCTCAGCGGGCCTGCCTGGTGGGTGCTGAGCTTGCAAGGAGCTGTCAACAGGGAGACAGAATGAATGTTCCTGGAGGGCAGGGACTAAATCAACACTAGTGTTGGAAAATCTCCAGCATGTGGGCCTGGAAAATGTTCTTGCAGCAAAACAGAGTTTTCCGGGTGGCTGCTATTCCTTCCACAGCCTGACTGAAGTCACCAGGCAAGGGGCTGGTTGCCCTGACTAGCCCGACGCTGTTCACCAGTTAGAGTGTTTCAATGCTGAGAGAGAATCATTGAAATACAACGTTGCATTTGAACATTCTGTCTGAGCAGAACACTGTCAAGACAGGCTGTTGAAGCCCAGGGCTCGGGAGCCCTGAGGAACTTGGTCTGGGGCCTCTCTCCAGTGACTTTGGTCTGTGACAACAATTAAAAGGAACAGGATGCCATGGCCTCCCCCAACACTTCCCCAGAGGTCCATCTGCTTCCCTGTGTTCCCTCACCAGACACACAGTCTGGGCTCTCCTGGGTCTCCTGTGACACTATTTTGTTCTTCTGCTCCTTCAGAGCCACCGTTGCTAGGCTCAAGAGGTCTTGCCTCTGTGAGCAGTGTCTTCAGGAAAGGCTCTCCTTCTTTGAGCCCTCTGTAGGGCCTGCTTTCCTGCGGGATCCTGGCAGACACAGGCCGACCTCCTGGTCATACCAAGCATATTTCACGCGGTCCGCATTATTGCTGTTCTCGTTGGTTCCTGACTCTTGACTTCTCCTTGTGAGAGCAATGAGACAGAGCAGTGGGCGGGTGCAAAGGGGTGAGCTGTGCGGGGAGGCATTGGAAGGCTTCTGGCTCACAGTGGCCTGCCAGGCAGTGGCAGGGCTGGGAGCTGGGCACTGGGTAGGGGCCGAAGGTGGGGAAAGGGGGCTGGGGAGGAATGCAGGGTACCACGGGTGTGCACCGCCCAGATTGCAGGGGCCACAATGTGGCCCAGCAAGCAGCCCCTCCAGCGGACACTAGCTTCAAGGTCTGCCTGAGCAGGTGGGGATAGAAGGGCTTTAATCTCATGTGGGAACTCTAACTGGGTCTCTGTTGGGTGGTGCTTTTTCCCCTCCTTTCTGAGCACAGTCCCACACTGCCCTTCCTCATGAATATTGGTCTCTATTCAACATCTGGCGCCCAAACTCCGGCTTACTGTGTCCTCAGAACCCAATAAATTCTATTTCTATCCGGAACAGCAAAAGCTTGACATGTTGCAAGGATCTCTCAGGCTTTCTTTGCCTGAACTCCCAGAGGGCACAAGAGAATGTGAGAGCCAGTCATTTCGGGTTAGGGATAGCACAGCTTTGTGCACACCCAGAGGGTTAGAAAAGAGACAAAAAAGGAATATTAGAGGAGGTAAAACCATGGAAGATGAGGGAGTACATTTTATATTTTTTCCAGAAGTATATATACTCGGAATATATATATCCCAAAAGTGGAAACTAGAGGGAAATACAAGTTTGAAGACAGAAGTGTCTGTGTGCCTGATGGTAAGATTTTGCTCTGGAGCAGCGTGCATTCTCTAGGGTTAGGTGACAGGAAAAAAATCTTTTTATTCCACAGCCTGCACTTTTCCTGCAGCCTTTGTCCCCTTCCCATCATCTGACCGACTCAGACATGGGAGGAGGTGGTGAAACCATTAGTTGGTGGTGGTTTCACTGGTTGGTGAAACCAGTGGGGGTGAAAACTTCATGCCCAACCTCATGCTCCTCTCATTCCATCTTATATCCTTTCCTGGTTGCTTCCCCTTTAGGATCCCAAGTGGGTGGCTTGACTCCGGTTTAATTCCATCCTGTGCCACCCTGGTACTACCTCTGCGGTGACAGGAGGCACTCCTTAAGCAAAATATCCCGAGTGGGTGGATGGATGCTGAGAAGAGGTGTTGGATCCCGGGCCAGAGGTATAAACAAGGTAGAGTGAGGGTTACAGCTAAGGATAGTTCTCAGACTGAGGGAATTCCTAATTGCAGACATACCTGACTAAGGTTCACACCTGACTAAGGTGCATTTATGACATCAGACTTGCACCAGCTGGATTGCCTAGGCCATATCCCTGCCAACAAAGGGTCTCAGCCCAAAGTGTCTCCCCATCTGTAACAGCCTGCTAGTCCTGCCCATACACAAATAAATTAGCATGGAGAATTCTATATCCATCCTTGGGACCTGTCTTTAAGCTTTAGTTTAGCACATGGTTCGGGGTTGGTTCGGGGTTTAGATCTTATGGCTCATAACTGGCACTGAAGACTGCATTTCTTCCAGGTGTCCTCTCTGATCCCTTTCCATAGTGAGGAGGGAGATCGCACACCGAGACTGGTCCCTTTCCATAGTGAGGAGGGAGATCACACGCAGAGACCAAGACTGGAGAATGGTGATGGTGCCCAGCCAGAGCTGGGGCACATGGGGAGAGAGTCCAGCACAAATTACTCTTGATATTTTCCAAGGTCATGTTGAGTGGCTTCATACCTGCCAATTCTTTCCCAAGTCTGCCCAAGCCCATTTTCCAGCCAAAAGATCAAAAAAGGAAACATTTTCAGTTTTCAAAATTTTATTGAGATGTTGAGGAGAAACAGCCAACATATACATTCCTCATTTCGTCACGATTGGCATTTTACCCACACGATAGGCTCTTCTCTGGCTGTCATCCTCTCATTGCTGCCTGGTGCTGTATGAAGTTCACCAGGACAGAGCCCCCAGGTGGCATCACAAGTGGGAGCGGTAGTTGCGATTGGCTGTAAGGGAAGGACATGTTTGCAAACAGGGACACTGGTTAGAACACCCCCATTCTCCTCTTCCTGCCCCCATAGGAATTGAACTGGAAATGAAATTCTCAGATTGGTTTTGCCACCTGCTCCCATGAGATTTTGGGCCCGGGAAAAGCTAACTCCAAGAGGGAGGGCCCCTGGGGTGAGTACCCCATGTCTGATTGCTCGCCTGCTCGCCTGCTGGTCCCTACTCACCATCATCACCCCGTTTCCTACTCTTTAGGCTGCCCTTCCGGTATTTTCTTTTGCTGCCACCTCTCTTCACTCCCTTGTGAGGAGCTCGGTTCTTGCCCCTCCTCATGCCATGGCTCTTTAATTTGCGGCTGGTCGACATTGTAATTTCTGCCAAAATGAGGGGCTTTGCAGGGCCCGGAGGCCAGGAGTCTGGGTATTTAAGGCCTTAGCCATTGTGACTGTGAAGGGGTGTGGCTTAGCAGGTGGGTGGGGCTCCACTGTGATGTCACTGGCCTTTGTTACATTTTGGTCATATATGAGAAATAAGGTGGCCCCTCTAATGCAGCTCAAGGCTACCCTCAATTTTGAGGCCCCTTTTATGCTAAATGAGAATTTCCAGACAGGTGTTGTTGAGCAATTCAATTTTAGCTCTGTGCCAGGCATCTGGGGAGTATAAGATACTATTAGAATAGGTATCTCCTGCCTGTAGGAAACTTAATGGCTGTTGAGTGTGGGTACATGCATGTGTGTTCAAATCTCTCTTATGGCACTGGGAGATCACAAATGTATTTCTGTAAGGATGTAACTCTAGGAAACCCAATTCAATATGAGCAAAATATAAACATTCCTTCTCTTTCATTTAACCATGACACTATGGGGTGAGTAATTTTGTGGGACTGTCCTGTGCATCGGAGGATGTTCGGCAGTATCCCTGACCTCTACCCATAGATGCCAGTAGCTGTGACAACTAAAAATGTTTCCAAACATTGACTTGTGGGAGGGGTACAATCACCCTCTGTTGAGAACCATTGGCTTCACCATTTAAAAAATATTCAGTCATCAAATACTTATTGATCACCTAGTATATGCTATGCACTTAGGTGCTAGAAAAATGGTTATGGATAAAACCAGACATAGACCTGTTTTCATGGTGGCTTTCAGCTTCATCAGGGAGAGAGCCATCAGAAATCGACACAAATCAGTAAATAATTTCTTCCCAACAGGGTGCAGGATAATTACATTTTGACATGGTGCAGGATGAGGTTGGAGAGAGAAGCAGAGACCAGACTAGGCTCACGGGCATTGGGAAGCCATGGAAAAATGTTTACATGCATAATATGACAAGATTAGAGACTGCTGGGTGGAAGGTGGATTGATGGGGATGTAGAGTGAATAAAGGGAGACTCTAGTGCCAATAGTAGTGGTTCAGGAAAGAGAAATATTTGATAATGGATCAGGCCTGGGCCAGAAATTGTGTTGATCAGGATGTAGAGATGTGGACAGGAGATTCAAACTTGGTGATAGATGGACTGGCTTTGGTTGGTGACAGCAGAAGGTGTAGAAGGTGTGGCTTTTCTGTGTAATATAGCTATCTGGATGCTGGTGCCACTCCCCAGGATAAAGGCAAGGCATGGGGACAGTGATCATCATGCATTTTGGTTTAAAACATTTCCGGTTTGAGATGACTTTGAGATTTCAAAATAGAGATATTGCATGATTGCTGGGTTCATGGGTGTGGAGCCCCAAGTGGAAGCATGAGCTGGAGATATCCACTGTCTTCAACTTCCCCAGCAAGATTCAACAGCCAACCTTTTCTTCTTCCTCCTTCATACCCTATATTCAGTCCTTCGAAAAACATTTCAGTAGAACTTGGTCATTATTTCCTCTTTCTGTCCCTCCTTCTTTCTCCCCTACCATCATCCTCATTCAAGAACCAAGCACCTTGGGCACCTGGGTGGCTCAGTTGGTTATGCAACTGCCTTTGGCTCAGGTCATGATCCTAGAGTCCCGGATCGAGTCCCGCATCAGGCTCCCTGCTCAGCAGGGAGTCTGCTTCTCCCTCTGACCCTACCCCCTCTCATGTTATCTCTCTCAAATAAATAAATAAGATCTTAAAAAAAATAAGAACCAAGCACCTTGCATGCATCAGGTTTTTAGCAAAAGTTGGTTGAATAGAAAAGAGAACTAGTTCAAGTTCCACTCTCGGCATTTCTGATGTCTATAGGTAAAATGACAAGTCATGTTTTGAAACCTAGATTCCTTGAAAAGCCATCATAAGTGATATTTTCCATTATCCTGTTTCCAGGTCGGTTCTGTTGGAGACCTTGATTCGCTCAAAGAGGGAGGAGCTCTAGGAAACAAGCTGCAGCCTTACCTTTTTGTATCCTGGGACTTTCCTGTACACTCCAGCCTTGTTCTTGTCCTTCGATTTTTCTTACTAAATCCTCCCCATTTTGTCCCACCTGTCCAAGGAAGCCTTCCTTGACTTTTTAGATTTTCATTGTTCTTTGTAATTTTCCCATGCTCATGGTCCTTAATAGTGTTCTCAAAGTCAACCAAACCTAAGTGTGTGACACCCTGTTCCATGCCCACATTGCTGTGTAGTGTGCAAGAGTCTGATCTCAAAAGGAGGCAGTGTGTCTTGGTTCTTGTCTTGACTGTGCCCTAAGTATCACTTCTCTGGACTTCAGCTCCTTTATTTTGTAAATAAACTGGTTGGGTTAGGTGATATCTGACATTATCTGACTTTTGCGGTAGGCACCTTGTAGTTAGGGGTTGTATTTTTTATTTCTACCCCATTTTCCATGGACACTGACATAGTCCACGGTAGGTGGTCAATAAACATTCATTCATTCTCACTCCTTGGGTATAATGAGGACAGACAGTAAGACACAGAATGACTCTGGATACCACGTAGGAGCATTTCTAGACAGGGAAGGGTCAAAAAGACATTGTCTCCATCATAGGCCCTGTTGCTCCTGAGCCTGCTGACTAAAGCATTTGCAGAGGAACTGGCCTCTTTAGTTGGAAAGACATTTTCTGGATGGTCCTGGAGACTGGATAGTATTTCTCTCCCCGCTGCCCCAAGTCCAACCTATCCCCAAAGATCCACTCTGCCCATGGGAAGCTGAGGTCACAGGGAATAAGGCAGCCAGACTTGAGAACTGATGAACAAACAAAGAAGAGTCCCCTTTCGCCTGACACCCATGCTGAGAAACTCCAGCAGCAGAGAGCCCAGTGTGGGGGGAGACACTCGCATGCCAGTCAGGGCTGGGGCTGTGGGTATTTGGGTTGGCTTCTGGCTTAGGCCTCCTGGAGTAAGGACAGAGCAGGGTTGAGCAATGGGCCCTGCTGCCTGTCTGTTTCTCTTTCCATTTCTGCTCCAGTGTTGCTTGAGCCAAGGGCAATTTAGATAGAGCACAATGAGTTCACTCCTGACCTTTAGCGGACCGGAGCCAACCTTTTTTTGAGAACTGTTTGTGAATCCAGTCTGCTGACTGTCTTCTTATCTCTAATTCTGCTCTTTTTCTTTCTTCTTCTTCTTCTTTTTTGCATGATGAAACTGAGGCACAGTGGTTACATGAGCTCCTTCAAATAATCCAGCACAGGAGTAAAAGAGTTGCCCAATAAAATGATTTCCTCCATACTTTGGCTTCCCTGGTGGGTCTTAGTTTTGTTTCTCTTGATGCAAGGAAATGGATATTTTCTGATATTGCTAAGGAGACATGGAGAGAGAACTGAAGTCCTTGTCTTTTTAGAAGAGGAGCTATCAGCCCTCTCTCTCTTGGGGCTGAGTGTTATCTTGCCTGAAAACAGGTGGATAAACAGAATAATAGTCTTTATCTCCCAGAAGGATGGCCAAAGTGGTACTCTGGGGAAGAGGCTGGAAGACAGAACTCCCAATGGCCCCTCTCTTAGGTTAGGAAGGGGCAGGAGATTTGGACATCACTGTTTTGGAAGTCAAATCTCTAGTGGAGTCCCATCTCACCTCTCCAATTCAAACTCACTCCATTAATTTTCCTAGTTAGTCCAATAGATGTCTTCCCAGGGTTGGATCTCTCCAGCAGGCCGGGAATTGGGGCTTATTAAGAAGGAAAATGCAAAAGTTGATGACAGTCCTTACACATGTCGATGACTCAGTCTGAATCCCTCTCTAAAACCTAAGTCTCTCCAAATGTTGACCTCAGCTGGGAAGTGGGGACCTTCTATCCTGCTCACATGCACGCCCTGTCTTTTTTGCTCTTGCTCTTGCTGCTGCCGCTGCTGTTGGGCAGGTGAAGGGGGCTCAGGAGCAGGCTATGGGATGAAAAAGCTGCCAAGAGAGGGGTCTCACCAGGGGCAGAGGTCTCTGAGTTCAGGACTCATCTGATGTCTCCAGTAGGGAATAAAGAGAAACCAGAGCCCAAAGCCAAGGAAGGAGGGACCTCAACTCCACTTACCTCTTTCAATCTAGTTCTGGGAAACAAGGAAGCATCTTGGTTCTGAGGATGTCTGAGTTCTGCCTGAAGATTTGTTGGGATTCTTTCCCATTTGTCCTTCAGGCTCCTTTCCCAACCTTTTTGTCTGCTTTCCCAAACTGTTTTTCCGTAAATGATTTCTGTTTTCCAGGAAGAGAGAGTTTGGGCTGCTAAAAGGCAGGAGACACATCATAAGACTAGCGGCCCTGGGAGTTTCCTCAGGAGTCACCTGGACCCCCTCCTTTTTGTGACCAAGAGGCTTGTCCAAGGGCTGCATCCTGGCAGTGCAAGAGCCATGGTTAGACCCAGAATTGCTGATTCCCATGCCAGAGACTGCCCACTGCTCCTTACTGCCTTCCCTGCTGGAGTAGATGTAGCCTTCACTCTCTATCTGTTTGCCTTTTCTTTCTTACATGTGCTGCTAGGATCACAGTGAAGGAATCTAATACTGAAGGAAGACGGAGTACTGGTCAGAGGACATAGTGAGTTCTTAGATGTAGAGTGTGAATTTGGAGGTCTTCTGCACAAATTTGAAATTCTCACTTGGAGAGAATTCAAAGTTTTGTTTTGTTGTTATTTTTGAACTTACAAAAAGTTATTTGAATACATCCATTCCTTTTGTGACTACTAATGATAAGGCCACATGCTGTAATAGTACACAAAGTAAATCCAAATTTTATGCTTCAGAACCTCCAAATAAAGTTTCCACATTAACTACTCCCCTGACCCCGCTGACCATATGATGCTGTCTATACCGTAGTGAAGAAGAAGCTGTCCCTTGCTGGAATGCACTGGGGATACAGTTCCCTGAAGCCATAAGGCAAAAACAGGGCTGTGGCCTCAGAATAGAAAGGGGGTGTTATGGTATGAAAATATCACACATATTCAATCATTTGGCTTCATGTGGTCTTTAGGAACAAATGTGTTT